AGAACAGAACTGGCCCATAGTGTTTCCAAGGTTGTACATCTTTATGGAAGCAGACTTACCATATCCTCCCACAGAGCAGTTGGTGGATTTGAACTGATGAACTTTGGTAGCAGCCAAAAACTTGACCACTACACTGTGACCCGGGCTCCTTCCAAAAGATTACAGCCGTTGAAAATCTATTCTGAAATGCATACGGTCACCATGAGTTGAAATCAACCCAATGGCAACTTTTTTTCTTTTTTTTTAAATTAGGTAATATCAACAAGGAATTAAAAGATTTCCAATGGGACAAATAAAAGAAACCTATATATTGGATATATATATATATATATATATATATATATATATATCTCTGAAAGAATGAAGCAGATAAAGTATAATACATCTTTAGATGTCTTTTCTAAGTGGTTTTCAATACAGTGTTTAAAATGATCACATCAAGCCAATAGATAAAGAAGAGGCTGTTATCATCCGGTCACTGGTTTCCTATTATCTACAGCTGATAGAGCAGCCACTGGCACGTAGCTTTCGCTGGTATGAAAAACTGAAAAAGGGATGGGGAGAAGTGTTTGCCATGCTTTTTAAGAAAGTACCAAAAAAGCCCAAACCATTTACAGCCAAGTAGATTTACTAAAAACATTTCAAAATATTTCCGCTTTAAAAGCTGAGTCCCTTGGCTTCTCTTGCTGTGTGTGGTCACTGAATATTAACATTATACTTAAGTATTTCACTTTTTGTTCTCATTAATAAAAGATATGTATGGAACTGGGTCATTTTTCTGGCTTATCCATGCATCCATTGGCATGAATAGTAAGAAATGCCTGTATCAAAACAAAATATTAATCAGACTTCACAATACAGAAAACAGCTGGCAAAAGAGTGTTATTTCTGTGATAACCTGAATTTTATGATTAACACTCTTATAACTAAAGTTATATTCCTTACACAATATTTATTCTGTATAGGATTTTTCCAAAGTCAATGATGCCAGCTTAAAAACAATTTATGTTATTTGTATAAAGTCATCATATAAAATAGAGTGACACACAATATACCCAATGAATAAAGCAGGTATTCGAGGATTCAGAAACCCTGATCATCTAATTCTTATTTTTGCCACAGTCTCAACAGGTTGTCTTAGTTAGGTTACTTCATTGTTCGTTGCCTCAGTTTCTTGTGGTATAACTGTCCTATTTCATAGCTATATAAGGAAAAAAATTATTTAACATTTTGTAAATAGAAAATGGCACATACAGTAAAGCCTGCGAAAGCTCAGAACCTGTGTAAGGCGGAAATCTGTCAGAGAAGGAAAACACAAATGTCTTCAACTAAAATGAGTGATAGAAAAGTGGTCAGGTTCTACCCTGTCAAAGGCAGGAAACTTGTGAAACTTGGAAAAACAAGGCAGTCCTGTCGAGTGCCTGCTCTCACAGGTTTCACTGTAAATGAGAAATAGTAACACTTATCCATTACAATATAAAATAACATAGCATTTTCTGCTTAGGTTCTCTTCTGCCTATTGTCATCACTCTTCCCAGTTAAGCACAACATCATCTTACATGGTACTTTTTTTTCGTGATTTTCCATACTATTAATTTTAAGCCTTAAAGAAAAAAATTGAAAAAAACAATCAAAGTGGAAATTTCAATACATCTTACCATGTTTTGGCAAAACAACTTTAATGAATTGAGTTTGGAGCTTATATAAATTGAAACATCAAACTTTTTTCATCCATTAAGCAGTAACTTGGTCACATGAAAGCAAGAACCCTGTTTGTTTTGATTTTATTACTCAAAAATATAGTATTGAAAATTTTGTTCTTAAAAAGCCTTAAGATCTGCCAACTATATTTAGAAGGAACATTGTATGGTAAGGACGCGATCTGAGAGATCCTAGGGTTACCTGCTTACAAGAACAGTGGGTCGTAGGTAGGAGAGATGAAGTGAGACCTCAGTGTTCAACGGGAATTCAAGAACTTTCTGGGTTAGTGATTTTCAATCCTGTGCTCCTCTGACCTCTGCAGAGGTGTCTGAGGAAAGGTTCCCAGGGTAGGGGCTGAAAGGGTGTGGTCTTTCAACACAGCAGCTCTGATCTTACGTGTTTATCCTGTAAATGTTGAGCTTCTCTGCAATACAATTCATGTGAAGGAAAGGCTTCTGAAGTGAAAAAAATTCTTTTAAACCACTGATTTTGCTCCTCCAGAAACTAGACATGGCGGCAGTGGTGGTATTTCATTTGTGCAAAACTTCTAGCCCATCAACCAGACAACACTTAGGACAACAGAGTTAGTTGGATGGGCATTCCTGTAAGAGCAAACTTTAGTCTAACCAAGTCCCATTATTTTTCTGAATAAAAGTAATAAATCCCTGGCATAAATAAAGCTTATTTAAACAGATTATAACCCTTGTAGCATTTTTACACATTTAAAAGCCAAACAATTCCATTTTCTCAGAAACCATTAATAGTTTCCTCTAGAAGAGAACTGGTCTCTTAAAGTCTTACATCTATATGAAATGATGACTGGAGTTATTATTTACAACTTACAAACATGTCATAAACATTTCCCTTTCATGATACTAAAACGATAGAACAGATGTGACTAGTTTTGTGACCTTGATAGTTGTTTTGTGGTGATTGTGTGGTGCATGTTATAGGCAATTATGGGAAAGCATTATTTCTGAAAAGGCAATTATTCTACAAGTGCTAGTTCAATGGGCTTTGCTGACATTCATGCTGATGTATGTAAAGTCTGCATGCAGAAGATAACAGCATAAAAGAACATTTAGATCATAGACTAAAGTATATAGAGTATACACATGCAAGCAGTATATTTTATGAATAAAACTCAAATCAGCCATTATTCCTTTTGGCCCCATCACTAAAAATCAGGTTACAATTTTGAAAGGTGGTAGCCTCACTCTAGTTCCTTCATTTGGACATAGCTTAAATGTTAAGAAAGTAGCTCTGGTGGTGTAGTGCCTAAGGCATTGGACTGCTAACTGGAAGGTTTGCGGTTCAAACCCACCAGCCACTATGTGGAAGGAAAACTGGCAATCTATTTCCATAAAGATTTACTGCTTCAGAAACGGTTCGCTATGAGTTGGAATTGACTTGATGGCAATGAGTTTGGTTTGTTTGGTAATACTAAGAATCCTGATTCAGGAGCAGTCATGTTGGGAGAACAAGGAACTTAACACACATCATCAGGCCGAGAAGCAATGGGAAATCTGTCTTCAGGGGAATATTGAAAATCTCTCAGCATTAAGTACCAGAAAACAAACTGGTTACTCATCCATTTATAAAACTTTTTTTAAGACTAACCATTTTAGCACACAACTTGGGATCAAATGACAATCATTAGTTAAAGAATAAGAGAAAATAACATTAAAAAGTACCATCTGGAGGTATAGTATGGCATTTAAAATACAGTATAATATGTGGAGCCTCTACCAAAATAAAATTATATAAATCTTAATCGTGATAACTTGCAGTGACCTTTATGAAGTCCAGTTCTTTAGTTCTGGTACTTAGGTCTTATCTTTAGAGCAACAAATAATGTTTCTGCAATTTAGCTGTAACTTTGGAATGTTTGGTAATTCATATTGTTGTTGTTGTTGTTATGTGCCGTCGAGTCGGCCCCGACTCATAGCGACCCCTCCTTGGGTTTCCGAGGCAGTATCACTACGGAAGTAGGATTGCCCAACCTTCCTTCCGAGGAGTGGCTGGTGGGTTTGAACCGCCAGCCTTCTGGTTAGCAGTCAAGTGCTTTAGCCACTATGCTACCAGAGCTCCTAATTCATATAGGGGAGAGCTTTAAACTTAATTTTGTATCTTAGGAGCAAAGTTAGTTTTGAAATACTATATAAACAAGATAAACAAAAATGCTTAAAGTATTTTAGAGAGTAATTTGTTCAAGCAGTTTTACAGTATTTTAAATCTATATATAAATAATGACATAAAAGCTGTCAATAGGTACTATAGGGACATCACATAGCACTATTTAAGTAACTCTAGTTCAAGATATATATTTTTTTGAAGGTGATTAAATTCCTCTTCTTTCATACTTTCTAATTCTGATTGGCTTGCTTTTATAATTTAAAGTATAAATTGATGAGGCTTGATTTTAATTCTTAGCCATTTCAGAAGACATACAGGGAGAGCTGAAAGAGGCCTGTGTTTAAAATCATAACCTGTCCAGTCACCTGTCCCATCACTTAAACTTTGTGACTTTAATCTCCTCATTTGTAAATCAGAGATAATAATATCGACTTCACTGATTAAGTGAGAGAATGTATTATGAGAGCATTTTATAAATAATATACAAAACTCATTGCTGTCTAGTCAATTCTGACTCATAGTGACCCTACAGGGCAGAGTATAACTGCCCCATAGCATTTACTAGGCTGTATCTTTACAGAAGCAGACTGCCACATCTTTCTCCCCAGGAGCACCTGGTGGATTTGAACCACTGACCATTTGGTTGGCAGCCCAGTGCTTAACCACTGTGCCACCAGGGCACCTCATAAATAATGTATCACTATATAAATATTAGAATTACTCCTAAAAACCTCCTGTTTTGTTTTCTTCTCTTTCTTTAGGAGAAGAAGAGAACTGTATTGACAGATCTTCACATATTGTACCCTGACTTTTAGGCAGTATCAGTTTCCTTCTTTAAGAAAACAATATCTGTACACAAACTTTGGTCAGTCCCACTTCAGGTTTTTTGTTTTAACAGTACTGACTACAAAAGAGTAATTTTTAAACTAATGGAAAAAATTTCAAACATGAAAATATCTTCTATTAGTTTTCAGTTATACATCTAAAACACTTAGCATACTGGAATAATGATAGGTTGTTTCAGATCTGAAATTAACACAAGCATTTATGTAGTTCAGTCATGTGGGGGTATAAGACCCTTAAATGTGCTCTTACTTGGTTCCCTGTAAAAATTCAATATTGGTAATAAACGTATTTTTTAAATACCTTGAACTTGTCTTACATAAAGTTTGGTTGTGGCACATTTATTTAAAATATTTTCTTTGAAAAAAAATTGGTAAGTACATCTTCCACTACTAAGAGGACAAAAAAGTATTCCTGTAATAAAAGTAAGAGGATTAATTATTGTTCCTCCATCATGCCAACTCCAGCTAGGTCTTGCTTTCCAGTGCAGCAACATATTTTAGGGCAACAGAGTTCAGAATGGACACAATGGCCTGTTCAGAAAAGCATGCAAGTTATGTCAGATCATTTATTTTAAGTCAGTATAATACACTTGTTAACCGACTCTGAGCGTGGAAAGAGAGAGACACAGGAAGTCAATGTAAATCGCAGACATGCCAGCTCTGTTGGCTCAGATCACAGCTACCTAATGTTGGGCTTTATTTCTTTTTCTTCTTCGTCACTGTCATCGACCTGCTGTATGATCAGATCAGCAGACCCATCCTCTACAATCTCCACATAGGATCTATTCTCATCTTCACTCAAGTGCCATCTGGAATCTTTCTCTCCTTCTGATGGAGACATAAGCTGCTGGTCTTCCAAATCGATGGGGAGGCTGTCTATGCCAACTTCAGCAAGGCACTCATTACAGAGTCTGTAGCGCCTGGTTCCTTCCTGTACCACTTGCCCTGTCAGGTCAGTCACGTGGCGTTTGCATTTTCGGCAGATTAGTTTGCATGCCTGGTGAATCTGCATAGAGATTTAAATAGGGATTAAAGAACAATTTTTCAAAAGCAGGACAGTTTGATATTTTAGGTCCCAGTTCATAAACTTAAAAATATTCAAGGAATTAAAATATTCAAGGCTAGGTGTTAAACTTAAATTAACATCTAGTTATTAGAAAAAAATCAGAAATTTTGGTGATGAGCTGGTATCACAGAAATATTCAACATCAACTTTCTCTAAATAAATAAAGACTATAGTATTTTTATTACTAATATTACCTACTTAATAATTTCACATATTCCTTAATCAAATAGTATTTCGATAGTTGGGGAAACAAGGGGATACTTTCCCAGAATAATAATAGTTGCAAACCCTCACTGTGTGCCATGTCCTGTTTCAGGACTTTTCATATATTAATTCAGGAACAAAACTCCCTCATTATTAATTTTTAATTAATTAAATTTTTGTTATTTTACCAGAAGAGAAAAAAATACTGTCCCAAATTTAAATGTGTCAGTATTTTTGGATAGAAAGGTTACTTGGCAACTTTATTAATGTAAGTGATCTTGTAAAAGGAGGTCTGGACTAGGAATTGGGAGCACAGGGAGGTCTAATCCTGGCCTTGTCATTTATTAACCATGTATCTTAGAGCAAGTAATTAAAAACATTATAAACCTGTTTTTAGGATGATATTCAAAATACTTAACACTTGTTAAGATACAGGCTGTGATCAAACAGATTAAAAGCCTGACTAATCAGAACAGACATTGGGCAGAAACAACTATGATGACTCCGTTACATATCAGCCTATTATAAGCCCTATTTGCTTCCTTACTGCAAATAGGGTGCTATTTGAGCACAGGGTTGATTGGAGGACCCAATGAGTTAATATGTATGAAATGCTTTGGTAAAAACCTGTAAATGATGAATAATTATATAACTGGGGTTAGTAATAAGGAGCTCTGGTAGCAGAGTGGATAAGGCATTTGTTTGCTAGCCAGAAGGTCAGCAGTTCAAACCCACCAGCTGTTCCATGGAAGGAAGATAGGACAATCTACTTCTGTAAAGATTTATAGCCTTGGAAACCCAATGGGGGTCGCTATGAGTTGGAATCAACTTGATGGCAGTGAGTTTGCTTTTGGTTTGAGAGTTAGTAATAAACAATTCTGCTCACTAGGGGTCACGGTAGTACATTAGAATTAATTGCACAATGTTGAATGAATAATGTTTGTGGCATATTCGTTTAGAGAAAGTCAGAACAGTATGGAAGTAGGTCACCCAACACAAACAAACAAAATAGCAAGTTCAGTATGATCTCATTTTGATAGAAAAACACATGCATACACATGCACAGAAAAACTTCTGGAAGAATATATGATAAAGTGTTAAAAACAGTAATCTCTGGCTGGTAAAAATGCATTATTTATATTTTCTTATTTTGGCCTATTTTCTTACTTTTTGCAATGTAAATATATTGCTTTTGTAATAATAAAAAGTTGTTTTTAATTGAAAAAAATTCTAGCTTCATGAAGGCAGAGATTTTGTTTTGTTTTGCTCAGTGCTGTATACCTAGCACTTAGAACAGGTCTTGTACACAGCAGTTGCTCAATACATATTTGTTGGCTAAGTAACTATAAAGCAATGCATGAAGAAATCACCTTACGTGACCCTTTAGGTTTCTCCATTGTCCTTTAAAATTAAAAAAGAGCTCTTATAAATGGGATAGAAGTACCAGTTACAGAACACAGATTTTAGAAAACAATTCTTAGAACAGCAGAATTCCAGTCACTGCTCATTAAACCATCAGGACGTTGAACAGCAAATTCCCTGAATTTTTTCTGACTGCTGATAGGCAAGTCACTCACTGGGAGAGGCTCTATGGTCCACCTTGTTCCCTTTCTTAATGAGACTAGAGAGCAACAAGAGAGATTGGAAAGGGAGTGTCGTGGAGAGAGGACAGACAGCAGCAACTAGATGAGATCCCACCAGACAGGGCTTCAAGCACCACTGGTAGCTGCTGCATATCTGCAGTGGTGATTCTGACACAGACATTAAACCAGGTATACAGCTTACATTGTCTTTGGCCCTGGAAAGACCAGTATATAAAAATGTATTAGACTTTAAGTGAGTTAAAAAAACTATTTAGCTTCAAAAGAAAATTTCCTATTTCAAGGTCTCAAAGGAGAATAATTTACATGTATAATATACACACACATCCAAATAATCACATAATATAGTACAGCTGTGCGAAAAAATTTCCCTCCTAAGTTGGATTACCCTAAACCAGATAAATGGGCACTTTTGTTTTTTGCTTTTAAAATGATTTTTTTAAAATACATTTTCTAGATCATATTTGAAGAGCACATTTCCAGCCTTTTGGTGACACAGACAAGCTGACGTTGTCAGCCAGGGAGTTAGCTTCCCATGAGGTTTTAAGCTAAACAATGAAAAGTATGATGTATTTCCTCTTACCAGCCAACCACCCTTCCAATTCAGAATAATGGAGCACATTTCTTAAGAAGTAAAATGATGAAAAATCATATACATACAGTTCGAAAATGGCTGCTTAGATGGTCTAGCCTGCTGAATCTTTTTCCACAAGCTTGACATGGATAGGGCCTTTCTCCTGTGTGACAACGAAGGTGGCGCTTTAGGTCAGCTTTCCGCTTCACCACATGGGTGCAGTATGGGCACTTGAATCGCATCCTGGGCAGCTCAACTGAGGAGACAGTTTGGTTAAATCACTGCAAAGTTCTTAACAATTCTAATAATGTAAAGAAGCCAAAAAGGAGTTGGTGAGTACAAGCTTATCAGAGGTGGCAGAGGAGAAGAAGGAAATTTTCTGAAGACTAGATGGTCAGTGTAATCATAAATACAGATGTTGTAACTTCAGTATTTTACACATTTATATAGTCTGGACAAGACTAACAGATTACCACACTTATCTTTTTATTTAATGTTGCAGATTCACTAGATTTTAAATGTAGAAGGTAGTGCTGGATTTTAAAACTGTAGATACAATCCAAAAGAAGTAATTCATTGAAGTATTTAATATTAAAGCTTTACCCAAAGCTTTTAAGTAACTTGTTTTATTTAGATGTTTTTATCCTCTTGCCTTTGCTTTAGATGTAACTTTTTTCCATGCCATTTATTTATTTAAGTTAAACTATTTTATTGTGTTTTCAGTGAAAGTTTATACAGCAAATTAGGTTCCCAGTTAATGATTTCTACGTTTGTTCAGTGACATTGGTTATATTTTTCAATGTGCAAATTATTTCATTATTTCCTTTCTAGTTCCATTTCCAGTAATCTAACTTCCCTGCCCCCTTGGCTTCTCCTCTTGGCTTCTGAGTAAATGTTGACTGTTTGGTCATATAGAGGTGATTTTTTTT